TTTTGGAAAGGCGGCTATGTAGCATGGATGTGAATTTAACCTGGATGTGAGTAGCCAAATACCCTGCTTTCTTTTTGGTCTTTTTGATGCAAGGGTGAACCGGGCTCAGGGTCAAATCTTTAAGGTCAGGTTTTTTCTCTTCTCTCTCTTCCTCTTTTTTTTTTTTTTCCACATTAGTCCATTATTTTCCTGCAGTAAGGACACTGGAGAGTTGTTCATGGTTTTATTTCCCTCGATGCCACCGTGCATATTCAAGCTATTTTCGACGTTGCGCGCAATCAATTCCAGTGGCCAATCACCAGCTTTCTATACTTGTAATCGGCAGCTGCTTCCAGTGATGGTGGACAACAATTCTTTCCAACAGCTGAAAAACACATGAAGATAGAGAAGTAGGACATTTTGTTCCTTTTAGAAACGAGCCTAGTTGGAGTGAGTCGGGAAGGAAGTTGAGGCACTAGCATGACTTTTGTCCTCCTGGCATCTTTTGCACTCTCATCCAGCACAATGTCCAGCTGGGAGTGAAGACCCACATGGCTTTGTCCAGACAGGAGTGGGTTAGGCTCTGTGAAATACAACAGAAATCACTCGGGTCGGATTCTGACGTGGGGGGCTGGTATTTCTTATCTAAGGTGACTGGCTCTTTTGTTCCATTTGCTTCCATTTGTAATTCTAAGGTTTGGCAGGAAGGAGGCTTAACCCAGGCCTTTACTTCAGCCCAACCTTACCAGCTGGCTGGCTTTAAGCATTCAGTGAATATTTTTCTATGAAACATGTAGTGTGGCTGTCCCCATGAGGCACCATGCAGGGCACAGAGAAGATCTGAGTGGCATAGACCACCACCCTGTGAAGTCCAGAGGGGCTTCCGGTCTGTAAGGCACTTTAACCTAGAAATTATTGTGAAGACTAAATGGTACCAATGTTTACAAAGCCCTCACATGGTACCTGATTCTAGAAAGCCCTCAGTGCAGAATGGATCATAGTGGCGAGGCAGGAAAACTGAGTCTTATAGACTGGGAGCCTAAGGTGAACCCGCGGCTGACTTCTTAGAATTAAACCAAAAGGAAACTTCAGTCTCTGATTGGTCCATCGGGCCAGTCCTTCACTTCAGCCTCTGATTAGTTGCAGGTCAAGCCTTCCACCTTCAGCCTCTGATTGGCTGTGGCCAAATCCTTCATTCGTATGGGGAGTAACTCCCCTTCAGCCTCTGATTGGCTGTGGGCCATATCCTTCATTCCGTATGGGGAGTAACTCCCTTCCAGCCTCTGAGTTGGCTGTGGGCCAATCCTTCATTTGTATACGGTGTAACTCCGCTTCAGCCCTCTGATTGGCTGTGGGCCAATCCTTCATTCGTATGGGGAAGTAACTCCGCTTCAGCCTCTGATTGGGTGCCTGCAGGCCAAGCCCTCAAGACTTTCTATCCCCTAACAATGGTTTTTATTTTCAAGTTGTGTGTTTGCTTCTTTCACAGCTCTGGGATATCTGGTCACTGAGGTGCTTGTAAAGAGCCCAAGACCTAACTCTGCCCCCAACCAAGGAAAACGGGAGTCTATTGAGAGGCTCATATGTACCAAGCATTGTATTATGCAAAACACTTTACAGTGCATGATCTCTTTTCTTACTTATAGCAGCCTAGGCAATGGCTGTTGTCAGCATTTTACAGATGAAGAAATGAGGGTTTGGAGAGAGTAACTTGCTCAAGTCTTCCTGACACCAAAGCCCATGCCACCCTACCTTCCCCACACCATCCACCTCCCTGGACCTCACTGGTGGTGCAGCAGGGAGACTGCAAACAACTCTGTCAACTTCCTTGTGCCCGTCCAATGTCATTTGTAAAAATGAAAAGCCATCTCTGAAAGTTGATTTTCGCCTTCAAAAATTCTATTGAACAGCAGCTTCCTTATTATTTAAATCTTTGCTGCCACCTAGTGGGAATTATGTAATTAGAAGAATAAAGAAAAATTTCAGTTAGACTTGAATTAAAAAACTGTCCATTTCATCCTGTAAAAGGCAAAACTATGTAGACGGTGAAATGATCAGTGGTTTTCAGGAGTTAGGAGGAGGGAGGGATGAAAAGGCGGGGTACAGAGAGTTTTTAGGGTAGTGACACTACTGTGTATGATACTGTAATAGCGGGTACATGTCATTATATCTTTGTCCAAACTCAGAATGTCCAACATCAAGACTGAACCCTAATGTAAACTGTGGACTCTGGGCTATCATGATGTGTCAATGTCGGTTCATTAATTGTAACAACGGTTCCACTCTAGTGGGGGATGTTGCTAACCGGGGAGGCTGTCGCGGGTAGGGACTGGGGTTGTATCGGAAATCTCTGTACCTTCTGCTCAATTTTGCTGTGAACCTACACCTGCTCTAAAAATAGTCTTTTTTAAAAAAACTATCAATTTTCTTATATCCATACTGTGCTCCTAAACTTTAAAAATTATATTTTTGAACAAATATGGCCTTCCATTTTTATCTTTATAGTAAACTACCAGATGTGAAATTCCTTTTATAAAAATTTTGGTCAGGTGTTGGAATTATTATAAACCCCAGCTTTTAAAAATGCTTAATCTTTTGTGACCATCTAACATACACTCATTTGTGCATGACCTTCTAATATGTACTCATATGTGTATTAGATAATGAGCTATACATTAAGAAATTCTAATTTGCAGTATTCAGAACTTGTATTTTTAAATGTTATAAATAGTCAAATTTTTTACATTATCATGGTTTAAAAATTCAAACAACACAGAGGATGTGAAGTTAAACAGTAAAGTCCTCCTCCAGAGAGGGACGTTTCTTCAGAATTTTTAATGTTTTCCCCTAGAAATGTTCTATTCTGGGACTAGGACACACACACCATTTTCTTTACTACTTTTTTATGAATGGGCTTATGCTATGCTTACTGTTCTATGGCCTGCTTTTTTTACTTGATCTATTTTGAACATCTTTCCATGCCAGAGCACAAATCTGCCTCGTTCTTTTGAGCAGCATATAGTATTCCATTATCGACTATACTATAATTTATTTAACTGGCCCTTCGCTGATGTCCATATCGCCTATTCCCAGTTTTTGTCGTTAGGGAAATGCTGTAGGGAATATATGCGTGCACATACATGCTTTTGCAAATATATTTGTAGAATAAAATCTTAGACCTAAAATAATTACTGGATCTCAAGGTTACGTGAACACCCACTGATCAAGATCACCAAAAATACACGTCATCAAAAAAAATAAAAAAGCGGGTCAGGTTTATTGAACTAGCTGCAGCAATAGGGAAGCCAGAGGAATCGTGAGCCCACTCTGGGTGCAGTTTGGAGGAGTTTTCACAGCATTTGGGCTTGTGCTGGGTTATTTTATTTTATTTTATTTCTTTATTTATTGAAATGGAGCTTCGTTCTTGTTGCCCAGCCTGGAGTGCAATAGCATGATCTCAGCTCACTGCAACCTCTGCCTCCCAGGTTCAAGCAATTCTGCCTCAGCCTCCTGAGTAGCTGGGCTTACAGGTGTCCGCCACCACGCCTGGCTAATTTTTTGTATTTAGTAGAGACGAGGTTTCACCGTGTTACGTCAGGCTGATCTTGAACTCCTGATCTCAGGTGATCCATCCACCTCGGCCTCCCAAAGTTCTGGGACTGTAGGCTTGTGACACCGCACCCAGCCCATGTGCTAGGTAATTTTAAAGAAGATTCAAAGGAGCAGAAGCAGTTCTAGGTTAAGCATTGTCAAGAAGCAGGGCCAGGTCAGTGATTGGGTCTCTTAGGTTTTTCTGGATGGTCAGATAATTAAAGTTGGGCTAGAAGCATCATTAGGAAAGCAGTGGCAGTCATGGATGTGGTCAGAAGAGGGGGCTGTTTCATCACTTTAGGTTACCAAGTGGCCTCGTCTCTGTCTTGGTCCAAACCCGGCCACTAAGTGGCCTTGCCAGGACATGGCTTTATTCTGTGTGTGTTCCGTATGATCAGTTGGGAGCACCGTGGCCAACCTGACACGTGCTTGCTTTCATTCTCTCAGGTACATTGATTTGGAAAATGTCTGTAGATGTTGAAGTTGCTTTCCAGAAAGTTTGCACCACTTTATAGTCTTCTGGGTTCTTTTAAATACCCAACTTCCCTAACAGAATGAAGCAGTCAATAATCAGATTAATTATGGCAATTGTAATAATAGCAAATGTTTCTGGTCACTTCCAATGTGCCATCTACTGCTAAATCTATTAAATGCCCTGAATCCTCATCAGAGGCCTGAGACCAGGTGCTGACAACATTCCCACTTCCCTAAGAAGAAACCCAGGCTTCAAAAGGATGTAGCTTGCCTTGATCACATAGCTAGCCAACAAGGAGTTAGCTGGGGTTCAGGACTGGGATGTCTTACTCCAGGCCCACACTCTTTACTATGAAGAAATAATTTCTCCTTTATTATCCTTCCAGGAGCCTGCCAAGGAGAATTGAAAGCTAAGGAATTAAGAGCCATTTAACTGATGATCACAAATCTTTGAAAGGCTAGTTTGGGTTGATAAGGAAGTAGGGTCCCATTTACAAAAATGAGATGTACGGGCAGCCTTCCAGGAGTAATCACGTATATAGTGTTAGGCGAGGCATCAGCATAAAGTGCTGAGTTGTTCACAGTGCCTCAATTAATAAATGCCTATGAGTACTTTCTTAAAATCACAGCCAAGACACTATAATTAAATATTCTCTGTGTGATCTGTAGCTCAGATGGTGCATTAAAAAACCCCAAGTAAGCAGATGGGTGAAGGACACCCATCCTCTTAGATCCATGGACATTCGTGAAGCTTCCATGCTGTGTCCTTCCGAGGACACAGCCTGCGAGACTTCACCGAGAAAGATTTTGTGCAGGGAAAGAAACTGACCTGAGATGGTGCTTGAGTAAATATTGATTGAGTGCATGATGGGCACACAGTGGGGTTGAAATTGGGCTGCCTGCTTGGATTTAGCAAAGGAAATGTGTAGTAATCACTGGCGGCTGCTCTTTTTCAGATTGTGCCGGCTGTGGAAGAGATATCAAGAATGGGCAGGCACTGCTGGCGCTGGATAAGCAGTGGCACTTGGGGTGCTTTAAATGCAAGTCCTGCGGGAAGGTCCTCACCGGGGAGTACATCAGCAAGTAAGGCTGGGTGCGGGCACGCATTCCTTTCAGTGGGCACCAGGCGTTGTGGTTCTTCTGCAGGTCCTGGTCTCAGGGGCCCCATGCTGTCAAAGGTGCTGAAATTGTTCACATCCTGCCGTCAGAATGAACTTGTTGCTATAAAACTTTTGAAAAGAATTGTATTCTTCTGCTTTGACTACTATAAACCTAATGAAATGTTAATCATTGCCGGATTTAACAATGACAGTGTTACACTGTATGTCATCACCAATTAAGCATTTAATAATTTCCCTGTTGCTATTCATTCTCCTATGAGGAACTAGTAAGCCTTTGTCCTCCTTCCAGGGCTGGAGTACATTTATAGACGCCCCCCAAAAACACACAAGGCCTAGGTCGTCAGCCGTTTAGGACTGTGCACAAAACAGCCTGCCAGGAAATGGGCTCATGTTCAATAACAATGGATAATAGCTACAGTTAAGGAAGTGAGGGTTTTTTAAAAAAACAAATGTAGCCTGGCAATGAGGGGAAATTTTCCACTGTATACCTTTGTATGCCTCAAAAAAAACTTTTCTGCTGGGCGCAGTGGCTCACACTTGTAATCTCAACACTTGAGAGGCCAAGGTGGGAGGATCACTTGAGCTCAGGAGTTCGAGACCAGGCTGAGCAACATAGCGCGACCTCATCTTTACTAATATAAATAAATAAATAAATAAATAAATAAATAAATAAGCAAGCCAGGCATGGTGGCACATGCCTGTAGTCCCAGCTACTTGGGAGTCTGAGGTGGGAAGATCGCTTGAGCCCAGGAGATCAAGGCTACAGTGAACTATTATCGCACCACTGCACCCCAGCCAGGGCAGCTGAGTGAGACCCTGTCTCAAAAAATAAACAAATACATTCCTTCATTCATTCATTCATTTCCCCAACCACATGAAATCACCTATTCAAAAATATTAATGAATGTAGTTTAAAAATATAATGAAACAAACAAAAGGTTGCTTTGGCCCCACCCACTAGAGATCTGATTCTACAGACCCAGGGTAAAGCTGAAACACCTGCATTGAAAGGGCAAGAAGGCCGGGTGCCGTGGCTCATGCCTGTAATCCCAGCCCTTTGGGAGTCCGAGGTGGGTGGATCACCTGAGGTTGAGAGTTCGAGACCAGCCTGGCCAATATGGTGAAACC